AACATGTCTCCTCACAAGGAACACAAGTATTGAATAGCACCATATCTTAGACTGAAAAAGTTGAGAAAAAGAAGTGAAAAATCGAAAATATCCTAAGGAAAAAGATTAAGGGAAGAGAAAATAGGAGAGCTGTGTTGAGATTGATTTGTTCAGTTGTTAGGAAGGGAAAAGAATTTGTAAAGTGATTAAGATGATATAGCTTTGATGAGACTTCACACTTAGATAAAAATAAGGAGTTGACAGTAGAAATTTCGGATTTCTTGAAGGGATTTGGACTGGACTTGAGAGATTTGCTAAGCTTGTGATAATTAGACTGAAATTTGATCTTGTGTTGACTCTGTGGTATGTGGATTCGAAAGCTTTAACTAGTGTGGTGTTTCTGATGACTGACTGACTGTTTCTTGTTTTCAAACCTCGACCTTATTCTTTGTCTAATGTTTGCTTGAGGGCAAGCAAAAGCTAAGTCTGGGGGAGTTGATATATCATGGTTTTTATGGTTTTTAACCATGATATAAGTCCTTTTTATTGAGTCTTTTTGGTATTTTTAGAGTCCTAGAAGAGTCTTTGCAGGTTATAGCATGTCTGGAGCATAATTGGAGATTTTGGAACCTTTTGGAGCATTCTGAGTGGAAGCCACGAAGTACCAAGCTCGAAGCAGAAAAGTATCGCATATGGTTACGATCGTCACCCCTTTAGTGACGCTCGTCACCCACTAAGGAAGGAGCGTGGCGTTTTATTAAAAGTATCAAGAAGAATTACAGAATTTACCCAGAAGTTTCCTTTATTTACATGAAGGCCCCAGGTCGTGTTTAGCTTCTATTTATTAGGTTTTTCAGCCATTGTTGGCTATTATCTAAGTTTTTAAGAATTCAGAGAGCTAGAGAGAGATTTATTCAGAGCTTTTTGGGGAGACAAATCCTGTACTCTTTTGAGAAGATTTCGAACCCCCTTTGTTTCTTACTCTTTCTCTTAATGCAATTTTATTCAGTTATGCTTTGTGATCTCATAATCATGTCTGAGTAATCTGCTAGTTAAGTTAGAGTTTTTCAAAGGTTGATGAAAAGAGTGTAGAATCGCTATCTGTTAGGAATATCTCATAGTTTTTCATCTCTGCTTGCTTTATAATCGAATTTCTGAGACACATCATCTAGGAATCCGAAAATCATAGGTTGTTAAATATATGTGAGAGCATTATTCATAACATGAACTAGTATTTGATGAGCAAAACAACTTAGTACAAAGAGATTTGGCTTAGGAGTTTTGTAAACAATTGAACCTGATCATTACTGCATGCTTAGGTTGTTAGGGTTTGCAAAGAGATTTGAAACTCTGTAATTTAAGCATAGATAACTTTTACAATGAGAATTGATTAGTTATGCATTAGAGATTCATGTTTAAAATGGTTCGTAATCATTCCTGATTTCCTGCATCATACATTCTTGGATCCAAACCTGTGAATTATCCTGGCTTAGCGCTTTTAATCTTCTTGAACTTAGATAACTTCACACATTCGTTTGCTTACTTTTATTAATTCATTCGCATTACATACATCATATTTTGCTTAGCTTAGTCCGAATCTATACTCGATAGTGTAGTTTGCATTACTCTCTTGGGATTTCGATACCCCTTATACTACATCTGCTTTTGCTGTGCACTTGCAGTAGTTTTATTTGGGTAAAACATTGACCCTATCATGCTCCAAAGGGTCCTCCATTGCTAGCCCATGGAACTTGTTGTTTTGAACCATTTAGATGAATCCTGGCTTGATCTCGAAGTTGTTGTTTTGCACTGGTGGAGGAGTGATACCAAAACGATTATGATGTGTATTTGGAGCATCACCAGCACCAATGATTCTCGGCTGCCTTGGAGCGTGGTTGGGGTTTCCATTGCCCCTTGCACCAGCAGCACGGTGAGGTGGAGCTTCTTCTTGGTCTTGCTCAGCCTTAACCCAAAATTCAGCTAGACCAGGCTGCTCCATCTCCACAAAGTTCTGTTCTTGCTCTACTGTCCTTCTATGCCTTGCACTTCTGAGTTGGTGAATATTTTCCAGTGGTTATAGATGATTGTTGTCACCACTGGACCTCAAATTCATGTACCTGAGAAGACAAACAGTAAGGTAGAGCAATGAGTAACCAAAAGAAAAGTAAAAGGCTTAGTCTTTACTAAGCTCCAAATCCTAATGCTTCCTAACAAATCCAAGTGGCAACGGCGCCATTTGATAAAAAGAATGTTTCTAAGCAGTTTGAGTCAAAGCCCCAGACCAAGATAATGATGCAGTATAGTGGTAAGGGGTATCAATCCAGCCTGGGTTGTAGAAAGAACACAAGGAATGCAAGAGCAAAGTAAATCTAAGCAGAATCGGGTCAATGGATTGTAAAAGCGATAAAAACTAAATGCAACGACCAAACTACTACGAAAACTATTTTAAAACCCCTGGAAGAGGTTAACAAATACTAGAAGAAAACAGAGGATTAAAAATGAGAAACTACTAATTACTAAAAATCGAGAACTAAAGCGGGTAAATAGAGAACTTTTAGCAACTTAAGGTGATATGCAATGAAACAGAAGCAAAGGTTGCGAACTTTAAAGACTTGGAAATGAAATCTTGAGGTTTTGAAATGCTAAAATAAGGATCTAAGGTTGAAGGTCATATTAAGAAGGTTAAAGGTTTAAGCTTGGGGTTTAGAAAACATAAATCTACTCATTTGATGAGCTTTATCTAAGCCTTGAAAAGCTAAAAGAGGTTTATCCATGGTTTGTGGTATAAACCCTTTCCTTAACCCTTCCTATAAACCCATGGTTTGTGGTGGAAAGATGGGTCAAAGAACATTAAGATTAGATCTCAAATAGTGGCCTAATTAGTCCCCTAAGCAACCATGGTGTTTGGTAAAGGGAAACTAATCTTTTGGGTCTGGTGTTAAGAGACTCCTGAATCCTGCTAAGGTAAGGAGATCTCTGAGATCATAAAGATCTTTCCCAAGACTCTTTAGGAATTAAGCCCCCAAATCCAAGTAGAGATTCAGTTGAAAACATGAAAAGACCCAAGCTTTAAACCCTTAAACCTTCTAAATCGCCCCAATCCTTAAATCTCGATGGTGGCTACTCGCTACACATGTTTAAATCACAAAAAAATGCAATAGATGAAGAGCTAAGCATGATTAAAGAAAAGCGATTAAGGAAAATACTAATGATTAAGCAAGATTAAAGATCCACAAAGTATGTAAAGCTTGAAATCGTTAACAATGGTCGAAAATCATCTTAGACACTAAGAAAGCTTAAAAGGTCCACGACAAAATGGATGGTTTACATTCGTTTGACTAAAATAGGCCAAACAAGGAAATGGTCCCCCCCTCCCCCCACCCCACAAGAGTCCAAAAACCAGTTGGCCGGATAAGGGTGTAGAGATCGAGCCAGTCAGTCAATCTGATCATTCGATTCTTCGGCTGGATCGTCTGCTTTTGCTCGATCTTTGAGTCGATCCTCTGGATGATCGGGTCGGGTCGTGGCCTCGATCTGGCTCTCGTTCTGCATGGCTTGATTCACGTCCGTACACACGATCGATCACCTTGGTCGATCTTGAAGTCGATCCCTTCCTTGAAACGATCCGGGCTTAGTCGATCTTCTGGCCGATCTCATCTAGATCGACCTGCCTAGCTCGATCCACCTCTCGATCTCGGGTCCTTTGCATGCATGGATGAGTTCCTTCACGTGTCCACGAGCTCCTCTTTGATCCTTAGCATGTCCATGAACTCTCCACAGCTCCAATGTCTCCAAAACAACCTGAATATGATGCAAGGATGCAAGAAACATGCAAATGCAAATGTAAAAGTGCTCTAGCACCTAAAATGGTGCAATCTAGCCTATTATGCAAGATGAATGCATGAAAACTACACTAAATACATGCTAAATATGCTAAATATATGAGTATATCATTAGCTCCAAAAACACCTGAAATAGACTCAAAACAATGCAAAACATGTAATTCCTAGTTTAAAACCTATCATGTCTAATATGAATACAAAAAAGGACAAAACATGATGAATGAATGCATGAAAGGAACCAAGACTTTTAATAAATGTAAGCTCAAACATGGTAAATATGAAGTTGTCAGCTCTGCTGGTATGATGTTCCATACAAGCTTCAGTCTTCCTGCGACTAGATACTCAGGCAAATGAATGGATGGAGCAGAGCGAATGTGATTCATAACCCAAGCTATATCAGTGTAAGATGATGGGAAGACCAGTTGACAATAGGATGAAGTGTACTGTATAAGCTGTGAAAAGCTTGTGATAGAACACAAATCTTTAACACAGGTTCTCGATTAATTAAGAGAGTAACGAGGATTTGCTTAAAGAAAAAAAATATATTTTATTAATAGTTAAAGGTGTCAATTTACAAAATTTCTAAGAAACCTTATATAATGATTCCACAGTATTGAAAAAGAAATTAAAGATTACAAAAATTCATTGAGAATATTACAAAAATCAATGAGTGGATGAAAGTGCTAAATTTAAGTTCAATGAAACAAAAATAAAATAAAAACTTAGTAATCAAAGCATAATTGAGTAATAAATACTCTCTCCTTTTTTTTATTAGAAGATGTTTTAGAGTTTATTTTTTGTTCCAAATTATATGATGTTTTCAAATTTCTATGTAAAAATTAATTGTAATCTTGATTTTGCTGTTTGAATTTTGAATCCTATTTTTCAATTGGTTAAACTGTTTTGGAATTGATGAAAAAGTATGTTTTGTTTTGAAAACATAAATAACTAAATAATTTCTTAATCTGTGTGCACATCTCCAAAACATCTTGTAATAAAAAACGGAGTGAGTATATAATTTGATATATAAGAACACTTTGTTAGTTATAGTACTGTAGTATAAAGCAATAATTTGTTATTGTGAATAAGAATAATTTGGTGGTTGTAGAGTGACTAAATTATAAAATAAAACGTAAAAGGGGAAAAATTTGAAGAAAGTATTACTATGGTAAATGCAATTTACAAATTATCATGCTCCATTACCATTGCTCCTCTCCATGTCTCGCCAGCGCCGACATAAATGGGAACGAGCATAGAAGCGGGACCCGTGCACACGAAGTAACTTTGCTTCCCATACTTATCCCACATTGATCTTGGGCATCCCACATAGATATCCTCGAACCCTATCCTTAAGATTGTAACGAATCCAAAGTTAGTAACAATGTTATTCCTAAAGAACAATCCTCTTCCCTACAATTTTTTGAAATTCAAAACGCAGCAGATTCTATAACGAATCCAAAGTTAGTGTTACAAACTCTCGCTTAAACAAAACTGAAATAACATTGGCCCAATTCCTTATTTATGTATTTGGATATTGCTTCCATATGAAACATTCCAATGCAGTATATAGAGTCAACATTTAATTTTCCTTGCTCTTAAAGTTGAGTTTTGGATTTTTCATATTCTATGAATATTCAATTTTGTTCTTTTGTGATCTAAAAAAAAATATTATTTTAATTTATGAAAAATTTGATGATGATATTTATAATTTTATGAAAAAGTGATTCTGTAATGTTGTGAAAAAATGAAACTCGTTATATTTACACTAAAACCAAATTCAACCGGTTTTGCGTCATACAATATTTTTGACAGTCAATCCTTATTTTGACATTTCCATGCCAAAATGAGAGTCTATAAGTTTAAATCAAACTATAACTCTACCATTTATTCCATCCACTTTTTATTTTTTATTTGAAATAAGATTCTGATTTTTTTATTACATAAAGAATTGACAATTTTTGAGGTTTGTTGAATAAATATTTGTTTTTTATTTTTAGATAATGTAATATAGAGAACCAACTTATAATCTTTTTCACTTGATTTTATAATCATTAAGATCTAAATTCTTTTTCTTTACGATAAATTCATTTTTTATCTGTAACATTATTGATAGCTTTTAATGTTTTTGTATACCGTCTCATGTATTTTATAGTGTTTTTTTTTTTACTTTTTGTTTTTGTTTTGTTTGTAGATTCCTTTTAATTTTTATTTAATTCACATTCTGAATTATTAATTTTATAAAGAATTATTAATTTTTAGTTTGTAGAGAATTTTTATTTTATTTATTTCTAAATTAATATTATCTGAAGTCACAAAATAATTTATTAAATACAAAATATACAGAAGCTCATTTAAAAAAAATTGATGTTGTGGACACTCTAAAAGGAAAGATAACTCTCAAATTATATATTGAATAGTAAAAGAGAATCCATGCTTTACGCGCGAGTTTTGTTTAGTGTGTTTTAAAATATTATATTTTTATTTTTTAACATTAATTTTCTTTTGTTTTTTTTACTTTTTAAAATTTTCTTGATAATTTTTGTATTAGGACCGGTTTTACCACATCTAATGCATAGGCGATACATCATCAAAAGGTACCCTATAAACAATACACCTATGCACTAGGTTCCCGATAGGTTTTATCCTAGTCAGAGATGTTTGTGGAATTAATAGGAAAAGAGTCTAAGAATGTATAAAAGAGGAGGCTCAAATTGAAGGAGATCGGTTGGTTGCACAAGAGAGAAAGGGAAAAGAGAAAGATGCAGAATTCTATAATCGCAATGTTCTAAACCAAACGAACTTCTTCTCCTTCGCTTTATTCGGTAAACCCTTCACTATTGATACCTATGCATTTTACACCATTTAAGCATGCATACATGATATGTTCAGGTCCATTTCATGTATATTTTCTTTAGTTTTTGTCCTAATTGTATCCATTTTAGGTTTAGTCAGTGTTAGGGTAGAATCTGCATTTCTTTGTATGTTTCGAGCGTTTATCAGGTATCTAGGACATCTTAGGGGGCTCGGCGAAGGACAGGGATGATTAGAAGGCTAAGAGAATCAAGTAAAGATGAAGTAGACGTTTTAGCCCTGCTGCATCGGACAGCCAAAACGGGCTAACTAGACCGTTGCATACACGGGGTTCGCACATCGGACAGCTACAAAGGTGTGTCCCCGATGAGAGGCAGCTGAGGCTTGTGCGTGAAAGACAATTCTTACAACTGCATCAGAGTGCCACAACGGCCTGTATCCGAAATGAAGTAACCTCCTTGGAACTTGTTAATGACTTGCAACTAATGCAGAAGTCTGATGCAAGACATACAACGATCAAGTTTTCACCATGCAACAGTTTCAGTCCGATAAAAAATCCATATCGATCACTTCTAATGCTTTTTGTCCATCACAGCACAGTCTAAAATGTTTTGCTTTTGGATCCGCCTTTTGAAGAGGATAAGGCTGCACATTGAGGGTTTTTGTGGACCACATATAAATAGATAAACCTTCTGTTTTTCGATGGGATCCCTCTTATCATCTCTTTTCTTTTTATGATCTCGTGACATGATGTTCCATCCCTTCGCCTTACTAAGTACTTTTCCCAGTGGGATGTTTCTAATATAAGAGTCGGAGAACCTTCCAGGAGGGTAACTCGTTTCCCATTCACCTGAAGGCCATGTTACCCTTTTGGTTGAATGATCTTAGGCTCCGAATGACAGGACCTACGAAGCTAAATTCTAAGGTGAATGGGAAACGAGTTTGATTACGTGAATTCACTGCCCTTCGGGGGCTAAATTCTATATGTATCCCTCGAACTCCCCAATGAACTTGGCCATACTCTTTGAGGTATTTGCCCATAGGGGCTTTCCTGAAATTGGTAGGTCATTGCGTTAAGAGGAGCAATTCCTTTGTCCTAAGCCTGATACTCCTCTAATATACTAATATGAGAGCTCGGATCCCCGAGGGTGTATCTTTCTGACAAGCACTCTTACTGAGCCAATTCGAAAAGTATGTTCTCGTCCCTTCGTTCCACCTAGGGAATTTGTCTCCCCATGAAACAGAGTATAGTCTCTTATCAATATCCTCACTTCATGCAGTCTCTGCCCTTCTAGGATATATTCTGTGTGCATCCCCTCAGAGTTCTTATTTGATTGAGTGCATTCTCTACTTTTCAGAGACATATTTTGTGTGCATCTCCTTGGGGTTCTTACTTGATTGTGTGCATTCTCTAATATATTCCATGTGCTTCCCCTCAGGGGTTTTAAAAAAAAAAGAATACATACATTCTTTACCCTTTTAGGGGCATATCACACTTAAGATTTTCATATTTCGCATACGAAATCATCTTTTTATCAACCAGCATGATCCTCTGTATAGTTGCCTGTCCTTAAGGATCCTCTCAGAACCACAGCTGCTGCTTCCAGGAGCTTCTCCTCTCCCTTTTTCGTCAGCTCCTCCGGGGAAATCCGTGCTTCTTTTAGCATGCTCCTCTATGTACTTACTTGCCCTATGGGGTATTGTTTCTCTGTGAATTTGAGATTATTTCTTTCGAGAGCATCTCTTCTCTTACTACGATCGCTCTTTCCAGAGAAGACTAAAGCACGATTCACAATAACTTCCAAACTTTTACCATGTAAGCATAACATGAACAATGTTCTAACAGTTTCCGCATTACCCTTTCGGGACATATTTTGCTTGCATTCCCCCAGGAATTTGTTTCTCCGATTGCTTTCTTGCATTATCCTCCTGGGGACATATTTTGTGTGCATTCCCTTCAGGATTCTGGTTTATTTGATTGCTTGCTTGCATTATATTTCCGGGAACATATTCCATATGCTTCTTCTTCATGGTTCTTGTTTTCTTGCTTATATCACCCATCCGTAGACATCCATCAAAGTTTCTCATAGGGCCTATATACTCACACCGATTTCATTCAGGAAATCATGGTATTAGTATCCATATATATATATATATATATATATATATATATATCTATCGTTGTATATGTCTTATTTATCGTAGGAACTACTACTCGGCCATCAGTCGGATAAAAAATTAGTAGGTTCTCTTCCTCTTTTTTGCCAATTCCCTCTAGAGACAGTCATTTTTTTAGCGAGGTCCTCATCGGACTTTCTTGTCCTCCGGGGTACCTTTCCTTAGGGAACCAACTATTTCCTCTTCTCGGAGCTTGTCTTCATTCTATTCGCCAGCTCCCTCTGAGGACAGTCTCGTTTCATTAGGATGCTCCTCCTTGGACATTCTTGTCCTTCGAGTTATTGTTTCTTTACGAACCAGGGATTGCCTATTATGGGAGTGTCTTTTTTCCATTTCTTTATCTGATCTCCCCCCCTCTAGGGAAAGTGAACAATTGGTTCTTAAAACAACGCAAAGACTGCTACGGCAGTTTGAAAGTTGGGGAACCGCCATGCTTGCCATAAGTTGGTATGCACATGCTGCGCATAAGCAATGGGATACCCTCTTTTTAGCTCCCCCATGCTTGGGCACACTATTTTCAACCTCTCAAGGCGCTCCTCGGAGCTCTTGGGCAGATGTCACTAAAGCAATGGTGTCTCATCTTTATCCTCACATCCAGTCGGGACTATAGGAGAAGAATGTAAATCCATCGTCCAGCGCTAAGCAAAGGGATGCAAGTAAATCCCTCTTAGGAGAGCTCCCTTCCGAGCAAGTCACGTATACCTCCGGAAACTTCTTTGCATTATTTACCAATCCCGACGCAGCTCGTACATTCCAGAGATGCAGGGCCAATCGGGATAGGTCATGTAGCATCCGTATCCGGGAAATCTGAAACGATCGAGGACGGACAGGATGTTGTCCGAGGGTTTACTGAGTTTAGTCAAGTGAGAAATCCGAATGGTTGAGTAGTTAAGACTATAGTCGAGTGATGACTAGGAATACCCGGAATCCAGTCAAGTCATCAACAGAGTTGGCCAGTTATATCCGAGGATAGTCCGCGACAATGTGAATCTAGTCAAACCGACGTGACTAAGTTCAGGAGAAACGTTACCGTCGCCGAGTGAATATCGGGATAAGGGATTTTATCTGAAAGAGGATTAAGTTATCCGAGAGAGAAATAGGCATGGTCAGATGTCTCGTGATGATAGCCGGGTGATGCGAATAATTGGTGGATCGGATTGTGACTATATCCGAGAAAAACAGTTAGGCCGTGACCATATCCGGGAGAAAGTAGAGATATCCGACAAGAAAGAAGAATAGCTGGAAGTATCACGGTGTTAGTCGGGAGATACGACAGATCCGAGGGTCAGATCGTGACGATAACCGAGAGAAACAATTATATTGTGACTATCATCGAGAGATCGCCGAGAGATCTGAACTATCACCGAGAGATCGCCGAGAGATCTGGACTGTCACCGAGAGATCGCCGAGAGATCTGGACTATAACCGAGAGAAACGTGTTCTGATCGATCTTTCACCTAGAGAAAGTTGATATTCGGTGAGATACATCAAGAGAGATCATTATGCCGAGAAGGTGTTATGGATAAATGGTCAGCCAGTAGAGCCCATCGAGAGATTATGGACATGGTCATGGACATTGTAAACTGGGCTGACCGGATGGGCAAGGGATAAGGGATCCAAGCCGTCCCTCTTCGTAACTTAGTCATGTGGGGATGGTTGGTTGAGTGACTGAGTAACAAAGGGATGATGTGCTATGAGGTTATTGACGATCTTGAGGGTCGTGACTATCGATTCTGATGGTTGTAAGGATCATGCATGTGTTACTGGCAATCATGAGGATTGTGATTGTGTTTTCAGATGGTTGTAATAATCATGACTGTGTACTGGCGGTCGTGAGGGCCAGGAATGGGATTCCGTGATGATCTGGGGAACCCAGATATCCCTCTTCGTTATTT